TAATTTTCTTCCTCTCCAATACTTAATTCCTCTGCTCTCGTCCACACTTCCTCCTCCTGGCACTCTTCCCTCTCCTTGGCAGCTCTGTCTTTCTCCTTCCTCTCCCTGGCTATCCCTCTTCTCCCTCTCTCTCGCATTCCCTCTCTGACCCCCTTCCCTCTACACTGGCACATTCCCATGCCACATTTCCGCTCTCAATTGTCGTCGCTCTTGGGCCACCTCTTCCTCCGCGATCCATCGTAAACGCCTCTCTCTGGATCGTTCTTCTCTGTCTTTCCTTTCTCGGTTTCTTCCTTTCTTTTCATGCTTCGACCTTCCTATAGCTGCTTATCCCCCTGTACAAGGCATTCCTTCCTATACTCCTTTCCCGTCTCCTGGGCAGGTTCCTTGCTCCCTGGCGCAAACTTTCCCTCTTCCGGCCCCTCCTCTCCCTGGCACCTACTATCCTCTGGCACTACAGGCACTCCTCCTTTACTACTTAGCACTACCTGCCACTCCCTCCCACTTAACCTTACCCTATTCTTACCCCGACATGCCTAACTTTGACCTAAGTTCACCTGATTCTCGAACTCGGCGAGGATGCCCTTGGTGATGGCGAGGGCGGAGGGCAGTGACCTCCGGGCGGCGACGGACACGTGAACTTGGTCAGCGTAGGTCAGCACGGTCACACTCACAGGCGTTGGGTCACGGGGAGGAGACACGTTGTAGATATGCTTCACGGTGTAACTGCAACACGGGAAGAGGTCAGATGAGTAGGAAGGTCAGAGGGAATGTGGGTCAAAGGGGCGGGGAGGTCAGAGGTCAGAAGGGGCAGGTCAGAGAAGTGAGGGGGTGAGAGGAGAGGGGGAAAGGTAAGAGGGGAGAGGTTAGAGGGAAGGTGGGTCAAAGAAGAAGGGAAGTCATTACGAGTATCATCATCATTTACATTACTATTATAATTGTTCTAATTACAAACGCTTATTATCAGCACCCTCTTTATTATCATCTTTTCTGTTATCATTATCATTATCATCATTATCACCATCACTATCAACATTACAATCACCATTATCATCATTATCTTAATATTTACTATCATCATAACCATCAACATCATCATCATTTCATCCATCATCATCATAACCATCATTCCTATCACATATTCATTATTTCTCTATCACCATCATCATAACCCTCGCTATCACCCTTATCAAACACTCATCATCAGCACCCTCTTTATCACCATTATTGCTATTATCATTATCGTTATCCTCATTATCACCATAGATCATCATAACCATCACCATTACCATCACAATTATCATCATTACCTTTATTATTTCATCATCATTCCTATCACCATTCATCATCATCATAATCATCAACACAACCATCACCATCATTCACCATTCATCCTATCACCATCTTCATAACCATCAATATTACCATCACCATTTATCGTCATTATCCTCATTGCATCACCACCACCATCATTCACCATGCATCCTATCATCATTTTCATAACCATCACCATTATCACCACTCATCACCATAACATCATTCACCATTCATCATCATAACCATCAACATTACCATCAGCATCACCTTCATTCCCCATTCATCCTATCACCATCTTCATAGCAATCACCTTTATCACAATTCATCACCATCATAATCATCCCTATAACCATCCCCATCCCCATCATTCCTCATTCACCCTACCACCTTCCTCCTCATACCTTCAACCCTGCCTACCCCCCCCCCCGCCATCCCCTTCCCCAACAGCCTACCCGCCGAGGAGGAGCGACGTCGTGGGGCCCGGGAGCGACGAATACTGCAGGGACATCCGCTGGTGCAGGCGCTGAAGGAGGCCCCGCGCCCAAGAGCCAGGGAGGAGTCGGTACGCCCACCACACGAGTCCGTAGGAGACGACCGGGTCCGCCGAGGCCTGTAGGAGGAAGAGGAGGAGGAGGTGGGTGAATCAGGTTGGTGGTGGGTGGTGGGGTAGGGGGTAGGGGTAGGGGGGGCGTGAGGAGGGGGTGGGGGGACAGAGGGGGTGGAGGGGTAGAGGGGGGGTGGAAGAGGTGGAGGGTAATGAGTGGGGGGGGGGTAAAAAGGGAAGAGTTTAGTTTTTCCTTTCTTCTTTCTGTCTCTATCTCCCTCTTTTCTTTTCTCCGACACGTGCATACATATAGATAACGAATGATCGAGATGGAAAGAAAAAAAACTGATAGATAGACAGATGGGGGGGGGGGCGAGAGAGAGAGAGAGAGAGAGAGAGAGAGAGAGAGAGAGAGAGAAAGAGAGAGAGAGAGAGAGAGAGAGAGAGAGAGAGAGAGAGAGAGAGAGAGAGAGAGAGAGAGAGAGAGAGAGAGAGAGAGAGAGAGAGACCAGACAGAGAGAGAGACAGAGAACCTGTAAATTAAAAAGACAAAAAAACACATAACAACAATGAGAAGGATGAAACGTATCCATGTTGACAAATGTAGAAAAGGTATGAATGAGACTGGATATCTTCGCAATACAGAGATGTATTTGACCGTTTCGATTACGTCTTCATCAGAAAATACATGTATTTCTGATGAAGACGTAATCGAAACCGGTCAAATACATCTCTTGTATTGTGAAGATATCCAGTCTCATTCATACCTTTTCTACATAACAACAAATATAACAAACTCAATAAGCACAAAACATACGTCCGATAAATAAAGAGGGAGAGAAAAGGGGCAAACAAAAGAAGAAAGAAGACAAGAGTTGCAGAATCAATGGCATTGCAAGATAAGGAATCAATGGAAAGCCGTTATCGAAAATATGTGGTCGTTCTCGTCAGTCCGACGAAGAATAATAAAATATATCGCTCGTGTTTACTACAAAAAGAGAAAAATAAAACGATACTGCAGCACAATAACGATTTCTTTACGTCACAGGATAACGGTATAAAAAAGAAGAAAAAAAAAAGAAATGCGTATATAAAAATAAATAAATAAAAACTTGAAAAAAAAAAAAAAATACTGGCACGTGGTAAAAAAAAATGGTCATGAATAAGTCGACGCTTAAATGCCCGGATGTGACGTCACGACGCATCGACTGAATAACTGAACAACGGCAGTGAATAATGAACTTGTGAATAATGAAGACCCCAAGCTCTCTCCGTCCCACTGCCTCGAGGCGTATGATTATTGCCTAATTACACCGCCATTAGGGCTCATGAATGGATCACGGAGTTCGAGGCGCGTCTGGCGGTATCTGGCAACTCATGTGCCCTGTCTTTTTTTTTTCTCTCTCTTTCCCGTGAGAGAAATGGTCCCAAATTCTGTTGTTGTTGTTGTTTTTAAATTCCCGGTAGAGAGGGAAAAAGCGCCAAATTCTGTTGTTGTTGTTGTTTTTTAATTCCCGCGAGAGAGAAATGGCACCAAAGTCTGCTGCTTGCCTTATGCTTCGTGTAATCTAAAGGGAAGGGGTTGGCTAAAAAAAAGTGCGTTGGTTTAAGCCCATTTTGTTTATGGTAAATCCTGGGTGAATCCTGTAATATAGAAATATTTGGTGGTGTGAGGAAGAAAGAATATTGCACATGCAGATACTCTTGCTGCAAAGAATACTGTTTACGTACGTGTGTGTGTGTGTGTGTGTGTGTGGTGTGTGTGTGTGGTGTGTGTGTGTGTGTGTGTGTGTGTGTGTGTGTGTGTGTGTGTGTGTGTGTGTGTGTGTGTGTGTGTGTGTGTGTGTGTGTGTGTGTGTGTGTGTGTGTGTGTGTGTGTGTGTGTGTGTGTGTGTGTGCGCGCGCGCGCATGTGTGTGAAGATATATAAATTCATATATTGTGAGACTCTACAAGTTAGTAGTACGACTCGGAAATAAGAGGAATTTCCAGAAAAAATACGAGCAAGAAGTGTGCAATATGCACTAGTATAAAGATGCATATATAATACATTACAAATCTACATATATAGGGCTATCCAACCGGTATTTACAAAGACCACACAAGCGCGTTGCGTGCGTGTGGAGGGTCCGCTCCTGCCCTACCTTCACG